AGTCGGCACGATGCTCGCCTTCGGCGGTGTGCGATGATATCGTCGTCGCTGCTAGACATCTTGTCTGTTCTCACTGGGTGTTGGTCGGTGTGTGCATCAAACACACGGCGCATGCGTTGGCGCTGTCCTCTTCCTCACAGCCGTTTGATCAGGCTTTCTCCACTGCTTCGCGCTCTCTGCTTTGCTCGCTTGGTCGACGCTTGGCGATTTCCGCCCTTCCTGCAGGTTGTTCGCTGGTCGTCACTCTGACGATGAGCGATGCTTCGTTCGTTGCAGGTTGGACGTTGGGTGTCTTTGTTGGCTCGAGAGTGATAGCTGGAATCTCCGTCGGCTTCACTCGCAGCTCGGCGACTCAGGGTAGCGATTCTTCTTAGGTGGTGCAGACCTCAGCTTGTCGATGCACGTCGCTACCCCGCGAACATCGTCCTTCTGGATGACGAAAGAGCTTCTTCGTTGGCGGCGACGAGATGAGATGGGGCCGGAGCCCTGGTGAGAGGTGGGGGCCGCAGCCCTGGAGATCTCTGGTGGGGGCCGTAGCCCGGAGACGAGATGTGGGGCCAGAGCCCTGAAGATCTCTGGTGGGGCCGGAGCCCTGAAGATCTGAGTTGAATGGATTTTGCCTCGGCTTATATTGGGAAAATCCACTCGGTTTTCCGAGTTGTTCAAAGGCCGGGGCAAGATATCTTTGTGTGGGGGTGAACACATCTGCGTCCGTGTGTGTCGTGTGCGTGTCCGTCCGTATGTCGCGTGTGTGTTTATTAGCTTTAAAGACACAGCTGTGTAATCATTCTGGAAGGAGGGGCGGGGCTTCTTCGCGAACTGGCGGCACACATGATTTATCCATTAAACCAGACCGACGATTCGCGTTCGCACCGAGGTTACACAATACATGTTTTTGATTATGAATAATTTGTCGCGAAAACCTACGCGTTAAGTGAGCTTAATGATCCCCTCCCTCGCTCTGGGCGTTATATCCTTGTCTCACACAGCTTAAGTTGTTTTTGGTTTGGAAGTTAAAATGACTCATTTGGCTGCTTAGTATCATTGTGATTTGATTGCAAGCGACTCAAGGTATGCCGTAAACGTGTTCACAGTGTTTCATCGTGGTTTGATCTCCCTATGGGAAATGTTATTTGCTCGCGTGTGCAAATCTTGCTGTCCGTTCTGCGGGAAGACACAGACGGCTGTGCTCCGTCGTCGGAGCACCCTGCGCGTGTGTTTAACTCAAAAACGTGAACACCCTCTCCTCTCTCCGCGTCTCTTGCGAGAGAAAAACAAACAAGAAAAACAGATGCCCTCGGAATGTCAGGCACAGACTCCCCCCTCGCGACCCTTTGACTCCCTCCTTGCTTGCCCTGCGTGGGTCATCCCGAGGCCAGACCCCGCCATAGTACGCGTGTGTTGTGTCAACCCGCTGGAAGACAAAGGTGGTCGAGGAGATTTATGCAATACCTTATGTGGTCCTGTGTGTTACATTTATTCTTGATATTTCTTATGAGTTCCCTCAGTCTTAGTATATCGTGGTTATTATTCGTCTATGTTTAATGAATATTCGTAATGATCCTCGTTACATCATTATTTTGAGGGCTTCGCCAAGTTTAGTTATGCGTTTGTCTCCAGGGATTGGTGTTTTATTTTGAGTTATATTTTAATGTCCTGAGGTTAAGTGTAACTAAGTTTCCACTTAAGCTTTCTGGAAATCGTATTCTTTAGTTTTTAGGAAGGTCATGTAGATAGAAAACATACAATACTAAATAATATATGCGGTGAATACGAGTAATATAAGGGAATTACTAATAAAAAGCCCCTATTGTTTGTTGGTTAATTCTTTTTGTTAAGTTTCTACTTTTCGGTAAGGAAAACGTTAAAGAAAACGCGAGTTGCAACAGTTGTTTTTCTATGCTCTGCACCTTATCCGTGCAACTCCAGATGTCTTGGGAGGTGAGGCCATCGACCTTTTGTCCATCTGGATGTCTCTGACCTCTTTGTGCCCGGATTCTTACCGTTTAATGGCCCTCCTCGTTTCACAGATTCCTTGTGTGCTTGTGAGGAGTAGTGGGTTGTTTTCATTATTCCATTTAAAAATATATAAAAAAAAATTTTGGAATTGTTCTTAATATATAAAAAAGGGGTATAGACACAACATCGCGTAGATAAAGATAAAAATAAATGACATTAGTATTAAAATAATGAATGAGAAATAATAATCCACTCATGTAGATTGTAGCCTGGTTCTTAATTGGAGTGAGTGTGAGGATTGATAATGTTCACTTAATCTTTGTCGCTAAGTTTTGAACTTTTACCGTTGTTAGAAGAAACATGAAAAAAAGACAGTTAACAAACGAAAAAAACGTCTGTTTCGTTATCCTTCGTCCGGGGGGGACGTGTGGGTTGTTCTGATTTTATGACTGGCTCCTTCTTTTGCCCCGGAGTTTATTATTTAATGGCAATTTACGACCTCCAGATGCTTGGTGTGGCTTGTGCCGGGTAGCGGGTCAAGTTTTGGGTTTATTTATTTATTTGTTTGTTTTTAAAAAATAGGCCGAATTATTCTTAATATGAATTTTGGAAAAAGGCATATATACAACATTAAGCATCTTGGAGGGTGAGTTATGATACTTAGCCAGTCCATTACAGTTCTAATGTTTATACCTAACATTCCCACAGACACCTCATGTGTGTAGAGGCTGTGATTATCAGCACAGATACATTTAACACGTAGGCTCTCATAATTGAGGTTTTTTTGGTTAGATCGCGTAAATATATAAATGTGTCGTTAAAACCTGCCACCACCCGACACAGCCAACTAGTGAGGGTTGTCACGTAAAAAGAACGTGCCAATTCGTCACTAGTACAGCACACTGGTGTGTTGGAGAGCCATGCCACAACATTTACAATATGAGTATGATGTTTCTCCAGTAATTACAACTAGCTTCATCAGGCGACAGCCAGATTTGTAGAGAAGTCCACCTGTTTCGTTCCTTATATAGAGGCGTAGATGTGGTGACCACGCTTCTGTACTCTTACGCAAAGTGGGGGGAGGGGGGGATTAATTAGTCAATGTACATTATGCATGTGCATTATGCGAGCCTCAAAGGGCTCATTAATCCCCCCCCCCCCCCCCCCCCCCACTTTGTCACTTTATTTACGCGATCTAACCCAAAAAACCTCTTATGGATGATATTGGTCGCAAAAGGCTACGTGTTAAAAGTAGGCTTTCTCCCGGCGCGGGAGAGCCTACGTTCACACCACACACGCATCTTTCTGAGTGAGAGGATGACTCGTTGCTGCTTTGCCCCCAGACGCTGCAGCCGGGAGCCAAGCTGGGGGAAGAGGCACTGCAGGAAATCCTCCCCGAGGTGAGGTGGTTCCCAGGGCTCCCTCGGCTCCTGCGTGGCACCGCGCACGGCGTTGGGGGTGGCGCGCGGCGCACAGGGGGCGACGCAACGAGCGCGACGCCCGGCCTACGGCTCGTAGAGCGACGCGACACTGCGCTCGCTGCAGCGCTGCGCTCCACGCGTCCACGCTGCGCTCTTTACACGGCAGTCGTGCCTCGTTACACCCGGACGTGGTCAGTGGGATCCCACGCTCCTTGTATTGATAAACCGCCGTGGAGCTAAACGTCGACAAATTAAATAATAATAAAACATTCTTGGAGCTGTATTGTGGGAAGAGAGAGGAATGCAGAATTCTTATCGTGCTATAAATACGCCCATGTCTATACTCCTTACTTTTATGAACCCACAATGACCAGTGTGGTGAAGTATGGTCAAATTACCCCTCAACCTGCACGATGTGAGGAGGCCCTCATGCAGCAGTAGATTGACGACACACACGTCCATGTACAAACTGCCAGCTACAATTCTCAGCTGACGAATTTTCTTAATGACAACAAAACGCGACTGCGATGCAACATGCCGAGACGTTCCAGTAACGGGCTACAGAACATCGGCGGTAATCCATTGTGACGTCACGTTACCACACGGCAGGGGGAGGGGGGAAGGGGAAGAGGCCCTTGCCCCAGCCAAGTGGGGAGCTCGCGTTAGGGAGGAGAGGGAAGAAGAAGCAGCATGCTGAGAAGCCAGGGAGAGGGGGGAGGAGGGACAGCTGACCCCCCAATAAACGAGTTGACCCACACGCGGCTGGTGTGCTTACCAGGCGGCCTTCCACCACTCCTCATTCCGCTGCCGCTTGACCACCGAGGGTGTCTGCCCCTCTCTTTCTCGTCCCCTAACTCCCCACCTCCGCGTGCACTTCGCTTATTGTAGACTCTGTGGGAAGGGAGACCACGTGACTTCGAGCTCCCAGTCCCTCCCTTTAATCTTGTGGCTCAAGTGCTCCATGCTCCTCTGTGCCAGGGGGGGTGTAGTTTCAGGGGGGTGTTGTGTCTGGGGGGTGTTGTACCAGGGGGGTGTAGTTTCAGGGGGGTGTTGTGTCTGGGGGGTGTCGTGTCAGGGGGATGTCGTGCCAGGGGGGTGTCGTGTCAGGGGGGTGTCGTGTCAGGGGGGTGTCGTGACAGGGGGTGTCGTGTCAGGGGGGTGTCGTGTCAGGGGGGTGTCGTGTCAGGGGGGTGTCGTGATAGGGGGGTGTCGTGTCAGGGGGGTGTCATGCCAGTGGGGTGTCGTGCCAGGGGGGTGTCGTGCCAGTGGGGTGTCGTTCCAGGGGGGTGTCGTGCCAGGGGAGTGTCGTGCCAGGGGGGTGTTGTGTCACTGTTTCCATGAAGGGGGTTTGTGCTCCTTCCACTTGCCCATTCGTCTTCCTGGCTGCGTTGCTAAAGGGTTGGAGTAGGGACGTGCTGCTGTCTCGTCATGGTAGCGGGTTTCAGGCCCCACAGAGTCTCTTCGACCGACGGGGAGAGGTTGGTGCCACGTGTCATTGGAAAGCACCAGAATATCGTGATGGAGATTTGCAACATCCGGACATAGCCAAAAGGCATGGAGGTAGTCAGATGGCGATTTTAACGTAGCTCTTGAGGATGAATGATGCAGGGGCCCTGGCCATGAGCACGGCTTGGCACACGCAGTGGGACACGGGCAGTGACATTGACGATGATCATCACGACAGTGACGTGAAGACGAGTGTAGCAGGCGGCGTGCGTGCATCTCTACCCCTCCACTCTGTCTCCCTGTCTCTCCCTGTGAGCGCAGCTGAGAGAGAAGCTGAAGTTGGAGACTGAGAGACGAGGTGAGGAGCACTCCGTGTGGTGTCACTTACACTCAGTGTGTGTGTCCCTTACATTCAGTGTGTGTGTGTCACATTCAGTGTGTGTGTCACTTACACTCAGTGTGTGTCACTTACATTCTGTGTGTCACACTCAGTGTGTATGTGTCACTTACACTCCGTGTGTCACTTACACTCCGTGTGTCACTTACTTACACTCCACGTGTGTCACTTACACTCTGCGTGTGTCACACTTACACTCAGGTATTGTCACAACTGTCACAGAGCACTTGGTGTGTGTCACAATCAGGCACTGTCACGCAACTAGTAAATGTCTCACAGTGAGTGTGCCTTTCAAGTCAGTAAAAGTGAGTGCGTCACAGTGAGTATGATAGTGATTATAGTGTCAAACGTTGAGTGTCTTACAGTGAGTGTGAGTGAATGACAGTGTCTCACAGAAAGTGATTGTGAGTGTGTGAGAATGCCAGTGAGTGAGTGACACTGTCCCGTCTCACCCAGACTACACGCTCCAGTGAGGAGACATTGCTGTGAATCTCACTGTCACAGTGAGTGTCTCAGTGAGTAAGTGTGAGTGAGTGCCAGTGAGTGAGAGTGAGTGACGCTGTCCCGTCTCACCCAGACTACACGCTCGAGTGGGGAGACATCGCCGTCCACCCCACGCGTCGCTCCATGCAGCAGTGGCCCAAGGCCGGGGATGGCCGAATCTACGTCCCCTACAAAGTGTCCCTCGCCTTCTGTGAGTGGCCTCGCCTCCTCCTCCCCCTACACCTGTACCTTGTCCATCCTGTACCTTGTTCATCCTGTGCCTTGTTCATCCTGTGCCTTGTTCATCCTGTGACTGGAATGTGAGATTGAGGTCAGAATTCACATCCACAGAGTGGCCCTTGTCTAGAATAAAGCGCAGGGTCCAATGTAAATCAGGATGTAAATTATTCAGAGCTGTGCTCTGTGTGGATTGATAATCACGTGACTGGGCGTAAGGGTGGCTGTGGCAAGCTGGTGGTGAGCGGAGAGTCAGGGACACGGTTTGTCCTTGAAGAAGAAACCCAACTCGGTGTCTCATTGTCTGTGAGATGTCGCCTTGTTACTTGAATGCGCGTGAGAATTAAGCCATATTCCCCGAATGCTGAATGATTGATGCTCCATTGAAATAGCTGCAGAAAAATGAGTTGTTGATTGACATTTCACTAATGGTCATCCTAAGGGAGAAATATAGAACCAGAACTCATGATTAAGATAGAATCTGAAGATTATTGGAGGAATTCACTGCAGCACTCTTTGTAAATAGATTCACATAGCCCCGGAACCAGACTGACTCTCAGATGAAGAGCACACACAAATCTAAGTGTAAAATTCCGACCTTATGGAAGAGGTACGTAGATGACACTTTTGTCATCTGGCCACATGGCCGGCCTGCTCTAGACCAATTTCTCGACCACATCAATTCCATACACCCAGCTATCAGATTCACCATGGAAGTCGATAAAGATGGCAAGCTACCCTTTTTGGATGTCCTAATCAAAAGAGACCTGATGGTTCAATGAGCCACTCTGTCTACAGGAAAGCCACCCATACGGATGCTTACCTAAAACCGGATTCCCACCACCATCCATCCCAGAAGAATTCCCTCATCAAGACTCTATATCAGGGGTCCTCAAACTTTTTAAACAGGGGGCCAGTTCACTGTCCCTCAGACCGTTGGAGGGCCGGACTATAGTTAAAACAAACTATGAACAAATTCCTATGCACACTGCATATATCTTATTTTGAAGTGAAGAAACAAAACGGGAAAAATACAATATTTAAAATGAAGAACAAGTAAAGTTAAATCAACAAACTTTCCAGTATTTCAATGGGAACTATGGGCCTGCTTTTGGCTAATGAGATGGTCAATGTCCGGTTCCATATTTGTCACTGCTAGTCGTAACAAGTGATGCAAGTGTGCATCCGTTAGTCTAGATCTGGTTGGAGATTTCAAATGTTTCATTCTGGAAAAAGTCTGTTCACAGACTTGTGCTGCCAAAGATGGTTGCCATTTTGAGTGCATGGTTCCTGAGATGAGGATATGTCTCAGAGGAGAGAGATGCATAGAAATTATGAAGGCTGCTTGACTTGAATGCGTCTTTCAGAGAGTCACAATTCTGCAGTTCAGCCAGTTCCATTTGGTAAATTGTATCCACATTTTCAATGTCAATAGAAAATGGGTTACGGAAAAGCTGTATGTCCTGTTCATGGAGATGAAGCTCTTTAAATCTAAATTGGAACTCCTTTTGCAATTTTTACAGTGAATCCACACATGTTTTGTTTGGGAATGCAACCAATGGTTTTTCCGCTAACAGATTTTGAGTTGTGGGGAGATGGCAGAAGTTTTCCTCCTTCACTTGTTTGATGAGGAGGCCCAATTTTACTTAAAATGCTTGGACATGTGATTGCATATCACAGATGAGCTTCCCCTTTCCTTGAAGTTGCACATTGAAACTGTTGAGTAGCTCTGTTACATCTGTCAGAAAGGCAAGGTGCCATTTCCATTCTGCATCATTGAGCTCTGGTACTTCTTTGTTTTTTGAAAGCAGAAAAGCTGTAATCTGTGGAAGTAAGTCATAGAAACGTTTCAAAACTCTCCCTCGACTCAGCCAACGGACTTGTGTGTGGTACAGAACATCTTCATAGTCAACATTTAGCTCCGACAGAAATTCCTGAACTTGTCTGTGGTTTAGTGCATGACCTCTAATGAAGTTAACACAAGATACCACAATTTTCATAACAGAGTCCCACTTCAGTGATTTACTACACAGCGCTTGTTGGTGGATGAGGCAGTATATGGCTATTGGATGAGAATGGTTATGTTTGTCCATCTCTTGGTTAATGCGAGCAATTACTCATTTCTTAGACCCCACCATGCTAGGAGCACCATCAGTTGTCACACTGGCTAGTTTAGCCCAGTTCAGCTCCAAACCATTCACAGTTTGGCAAACCTTTTCATAGATATCCTCTCCTGTAGTTGTTCCTTTGATGCTTTGCAGTGCAGCAAGCTCTTCTGTGACTTCGAAATAGTCATTCGTCCCACGATTAAAAATTGAAAGTTGTGCAGAATCACGAACATCATTGCTTTCGTCGAGTGCCAAGGAAAAATAGGAAAGTTTTTTTGTGGAGTTTTGCAAATGCTGATGCAAATTGTCTCCCATTTCTTCAATCCTCCGTGTAATTGTAGGTCCTGAAAGACTCACTGTACTAAACAAATCGGCCTTCTCTGGACACATCTCTTTGGCAACAGAAAGAAGGCATTCTTTAACAAATTCTCCCTCCACGAATGGTCTGCCAGTGCACGCTATTAGCTTGGCAACTTGAAAACTTGCTCGCAGTGATGAAATATTTAGCTGCTTCTGCTTCACAAAAGTATTTTGCTGAGTTGTTAATGTATTTTTCAGTTTTAATATTTTATCTTTTCTCACTTCTCCGACCAATCAATCATATTTATCTTTATGTTGAGTTTCATAGTGTCGATGTAAATTGTATTCTTTGAACACAGACACTATATTCTGGCATATCAGACACACAGCTCTTTCCTTGTACTGCATGAAAAAGTAATCATAAGTCCACTGTTCTTTGAATATCCTACACTCCGAGTCAATTTTTCTCTTTCTTGACATCATTGTTTCCTAGGGAGTCAAAATTGCTATTAGTAAAATACCAATATATATACAGCGCTACAAAAACAATATACCTGCAATAACTTTGCCCACACAGAGACATACAAACTGCACTGCCCATCAATGTAGTCTGATTGGGGGAACTCTGCTTTTACCCCAGGCTCACACTGGTGCGGATGCCATTAAAAAGTTAATTACATCTGCAGTTTTGTTCACAGATCGCAGTGCGGTGGGCCCAATGAGTGCCCACCGCCGCAGCTCAATCAGTGCTCACCAGCGCAGCCCAATCAGTGCCCACCAGCGCAGCTCAATCAGTGCTCATCAGCGCAGCCAAATCAGTGCTCGCCACCGCAGCCCAATCAGTGCTCACCAGCGCAGCCCAATGAGTACTTACCAGCGCAGCCCAATTAGTGCTCACCAGCGCAGCCCAATTAGTGCTCACAAGCGCAGCCCAATTAGTGACCATGGGCCGGATAAATGTCCTCAGCGGGCCGCATGTGGCCCGCGGGCCGTAGTTTGAGGACCCCTGCTCTATATCATAGAGCCCAATGCATCTCCGACCAGGAACACATTTCCAGTGAACTCAAACACGTACGCCAAGCTCTTAAGGCTAATGGTTACTCCGACTACACAATCCGCAAAGCCATCACTCCAACCATCAAGAAGGATCCTGTTGAGGAGCCTTTCAAGACCATCACCTTACCCTACATTGCTGGGGTCACAAAAAAGATCTCCAAAATCCTGATTAAACACAAGATCCAGGTCCGATTCAACACAGTACACAAAATCCGTGATCTGGTACCGCCTGTAAAAGATGTGGTTCCAGACATACAGTACCCTGGCGTCTACAAACTAAGTTGCCTCTGTGGTAGCAGTTACATTGGGGAAACCAAACGACATGTCTCGGACCGCATCCGTGAACATAAAGCAGACCTGAAACACGGTAGGACAAACTCCTCAGCCGTGGCAGATCACTGTTACAACTCAGTGGGCTCACATGACATTGACTTCTCCAAGACAGAGGTTCTCTGCAAGCCATCTGGCTATCATGAGAGATTCGTTCATGAGGCGATCCACATATACAAACAGAGACAATTTTAACCGAGAAGATGGATTCTGGCTTAGCAATCATTGGAAGGACGTAATAAACCATTTCGGATCTTAACTGATTGTGTTCACGTTTACGGTGACTTTCAGACCGCGTTTCCACTCACTGGCATTGCATTCTCCGCAGGGAATGGATTCTTTGCTCCGCTGCAAGTTTTCCCACCACGACTCACCCATTGACACGACGGTCAATTGTACAGTGTATAATAACAAATAGTATAACATTTATATGCTTAATACAATGTACAAAGTAATATATAGTATCGTAATTGTATAGTAAACATATAGCAGTGTGATACACATTAAGGTGGGTAGAATAATACATAGTGTTATATTAAAATGTATAAGGTATAGGGTGGTTTATAGCAATACAGTATATAATTTAATGTTGGGTTTATCTATGGCAGTATATAGTACGGTGTATGCTCGTGTGATGTAAGAGAACAAAGTTTAGATGGAAGCATATTATATAATTTTTACGACGTAGAATTGTAATGTATTACTTGCTGTGAGTAACTCAGCTTATTGTAGAGTATAGTAAGTACACTGATGGTGCTATGCAGTTTATACTTTAGTTTTTTATGTAGTTTATACTTTAGTTTTCTACGTGGTTGTTTAGTAACTGCAGCTACATACTATTAACATTCCTTTCCTTTGTTAATGCTACTCCGTACACCCTCCCTTGGTGCTGCTGATCCTGCATAATGCATGGGCATAATATGACTTTGAAAACCCCCCGCCCACCTCCTACGCATTTCCCATGAATATGCTAAATTCCTCTTCATATGCACATTATTTTTGTTAAGGCGCTCTTCTTGCACCTCCAACCCAGCGTATATATAAGCTCCTAGCTTGGTAGTGTCTCATTCTTCACCTGAAGACGGCTGCTTGTGTTGTAGCCGAGACGTCGGGAGAATTATTTTATTATGTTTTATTTTTATTATTTTATTACTTCCCTTCTACGTGACTTTACCGAAAG